CAACTTCATCCAATTCAGGAATCATTAATTCATCGCCACTATCATCATCAGAACAAATCTCATTAACAATATTTTCCAGCTTGTCTGTAGGAACACGAAGACACTTGCTGCAAGAAGCCATGGTGAAACTGAATGAATGTGATATATTTTCTGACATTTCCTTCTCAGAGGGTTCTGACATTAATATAGACCCCCACAAAGTTTACAAGGGTTCTTTACAAACATGCACAAGAACTATCATATATATGTCTTTGGTTGATGAGTGCCAAGAGAGCAAAGAAGGGAAGAGATTGTCAAAGCGTTAAAACACGCCAACGCCAGGGAACGGCTGGCATCGTCCGGGCGTTAAAACACGCCCGCGCCAGTCAAAGAGTTAAGACTAATCTAACCATATATCTTCAGAATATATGTGGTTTACAGAAGTGCACAAAAAGAATTCTGTGTCACTTTTCATTGAAATTCATGTATTATGTATTACTGAACACCATTTATCCTCGTCTGAAATTCAATCGGTTTCTATTGATAATTATACTCTTCATGCCTATTATTGTAGAAAACATGTATTGAAGGGCAGTGTGTGTATTTTTGTTTGTGATAATATAACTTCCTCCAGTTTCAATCTGGAGACTTACTGTGTTGACAGAGACATAGAGGTATGTGCTGTTCAATTAAACCTTCTGAATAATAAATTTTATATATTAAAAATCTGGGATTTCCTTTAAATTTTTTAATTATTTAGAGCAACCATTACAATTGCTTTATAATCCTAAAATTAATCTAATAATTTGCGGGGACATGAACATAAATCATTTAGAAGAGTCAAATAGAATGAAGCAACTAAATGCCCTTCTTAAAATGTTTGACTTAGTAAACACAATGGTCTTTCCCAATACAGTACTCGTATGTAGAAGTACTAGTACTGCCATTGATAATATCTTTATGGATACTTCTGAAGATAGACATTTTTTTTTCTTGTCTCTACACGATGGGTTGTCCAATCATGAAGGTCAGTTACCATAGGCCTTCCATTATTACAGAAAAAAAGAACACCATACTTACTCCTATAGGAAAATTAATAATTTTACAATTGCTGATTTCCAAAAGCAATTAAGTTATGAAAATTGGGATGATATTTTTGGTGAGAATAATGTGAATCTCGTTTTTAATTCTTTTTTGAACACATGTTTGAGAATTTTTAACTCCACTTTTCCTATAGTAAATAAGCATATGTCATCAAAGATAAATTAGATTACACCTGGTATAAGAAACTCTTGTAAATGCAAAAACGATTTATACTTAATGACGAAAAGAAATGTCAATTTATTTATGAAGGTATATTACAATAGGTATAGCAAAATATTAAATAAGGTTATAATTGCAGCCAAGAAAATGGCATATGATAATTGTATTAAGAAGTCACATAATAAACAAAATTTTTTATTGTTGTTTTTCATATTCAGCACAGTGGCACTTAGATTTACAAAAACTGAACTTTATGAACATATTTCAGAGTGTACAATGGAAGATATTCCAAGTAATTTGTCATACCTTAATCCAAGAGATCCTAGTATATATCTAGGAAACAGGTCTTTTGGTTCTAAAAGGATAAATCTGCTGTCACGTTTTGGAGATGAAACAGAACATGAGCATATGTCAAAGAACAAGAGGGTGAAAGTGTACTTGAGAATAAAGCCAACGAAGAAGGATCCAACACTGACATTTGCTGTGCCACAGGTAATTAAGGAAGCACATATGTATGTGCATGTGTGTTTGAAGTTTATGTAGTATCTATTACAGATATTTTAAGAGTAAGTGGTTTTCGCGTCTTTAATGATGCATAATAAAACCTATTTTGTTTTATTCAGTAAACAAAAAACCAAACAAATTCCATGGCCTGTAGTCCACAAGCGAACTATAGCGACTGAGTGACCACTGCTTGTCAGTGAAGTTAGTGCCAACTTTTGCGGATAGAGGTGTCACGTGGTCAGCGCAGCAGATCCCACAACCGTTGATCTCAGTATTCTAGACCAGAGTTTTATTCAATAAAGGGATGAAAACTTGTAAAACTTAATATCATTTTTTCTGATGCACAGTTAATCATGCCATGTGTTAGTAATTATGAACTTTCTATGAGTCTAACTAAATGTGTTAACAGTTTGCGTGCATTGTTGTCTCATGTTCTGCTGGTCACATTGATGCACTCTGAAAGGATTGCTAAGCTCTTCTTCCTGGTAGAATTCTGTTATGTTACAAATTTGGTTGCTCTGAAATTTCTCTGTGTGATCTTTGTATCACATTGTTAAAATGTTTACAAATCAGCAATTGAAGTTGTCTTAAAAGGAGTATGGAATTTATCTTGCTGACTTATAGTTTACTTTTTTTAACTATGCTGAAATATAAACACCGTGTCTACTCTTTGAAGTGTTGAATCACTGGGTTTTACACATCTGATAACCAGCAATGCATTGAACTCTAAGCATCCCACTGATCATTGAGCTGCATAGGCATAAGTGTTGTATGCCTTTTCTGTCTACTCAGGCCACAGAAATTTGGACTGCTAGAATAATCGACAAACCTACTGCCTGACACATTAAAATAAAACTTACCCAGATTACAGGAGATGCTGGAAATGCTCCCCATTATCATTCACATATTCTATCATTTCCTTTACAATTTTACATTAACATGTTGAAGTCCTTTTTGTAATACATTAACATGAAAACACTAGTTTCCTGTGCAAGGCATTTGAAGGAGCATTGAGGAGAATGTTTGATCCTAACACCAATTATCTAATTTGTCATAGCTGTTCAATCAGTTCTTTGATTTGGCTCAAAATACAATGCTGTTATGAAAGTAACAGATGAATTCTCATTATTCTGATATGCATTTATATGATGTGGTTAATAATGAAGAGGTGTATGTTCTTGTACATCCTTTCTTATCTTGGCTTCTTGTTTTGTGATTGTTTGCAATTTACTTTCAGGTTCAAACATTTGAAGTTAAAGATTCTCAGACTTTGGTAACAAGATCTCTGAAGGATTCTGTGATTCATGAGTAAGTATAGTACCTAAGGTGTATGAATGCCCCTCATTTACATAAACCAGTACTTATTTTATGATACAGCATTAAAATATTGCTATTCAGATGTTAGTCAGAAATCTGAAGACTGTATTACTGAATAATTAATGTAAATGTTGTGATATACTGTAACTGTCCCCTTTCTTTCCTTTGTACTTATGTGCCGGCTCCAGTAGATTACTGAACTCCTCTCCGGTTCGTGTCATGGCAATAACTGAGGCAACCAGAAGCCAGTCCACTGTTCCAGATCAACAATACCGTTTCCACTGTTATAAGCAAAATATTACAACTTCCTTTGCAACTTCCTTTCCTTTAATATTATCAAATTTTAATTATCCAAAATGAAGGACTGATGAAAAGAAACATGCGGAGTGCAGGTCGCTCATGTCTGACTCCGGTTAATTCAAAATGCCATGTCCCCAAGACAAGCATCTTGAGGGAGTATCACTTCATTCCCAAGAAGAATTTGAATTAATGGCCTCTCTCCCAGACAAGAATGTGTTTCCAATTGGCTGATTTTAACTAGCCAGTTATCATGCAGTCAGCACAAGCCAATCACATAATGACTTCTGAGAATAAAGCCTTTCACCAAGATCTAGAACTTGGAACCTCACATGTGAAAATGGTTATTTTCTTTAGCTTAGGGTCCAGCTACACCCTTCTGAAGGCACTTTATGACAGCTACACATGTTAACAAAATAAATTCACATCTTCAGAAAACTACACACTTGCCTCCCATGGTGACCGTGTCCCGTTCCAGTCATTCAAACTGAATGTGAACAAAAACAAGGCAGTTGTTTTCTGTCCAGATATGAAAAGCAAGCCTTAACATGTTAAGTCTCCCCAGTCAACCAGTCAACCTTTCAGAATTACTCAAGAGGACCATAGTGTAAATGGAGAACTGTAACAATACTGTCATATTATATGGTGCTATCAAAAATTTCCCGAAATTTGAATTTTTGCGCACGAATGGTTATGAGTACATCGAAATACCGCTAAGTGTCTCCCCACATACCCTTCTTGAATCAGTGTGGAAAGCGGAGTCGAGTTGAGTGGTTGGGTTTATTGTTGGTGAACGTATTTCCATTGTTGTGTTTCCGTGAGTTTGCGGTTTTGCGATGGCTGACCTGAGAGAGCAGTGTGTCTGTATAAAGTTTTGTTTTAAACTTGGGAAAATCACTGCAGAAACGCACCAAATGTTGAAGCAAGTTTTTGGTGGCAACAGTTTAGGCCAGACACAAACTTACAACTGGTATAAGCGTTTCAAAAAGGGCCGAATATCGACTGAAGATGACAATCGTTCGGGACGGCCGTCAACTGACACCACACTAGAAAATGTCGCGAAAGTTAGGGATCTGATTCTGCAAGATCGTAGACTGACCATCCAAGACCTCTGTAGCATCTTGGGACTAAGTTATGGTACATGTCAACGAAGTTTGTCAGAGGAACTGAACATGAGGAGGATTGCGGCGAAGTTTGTGCCACGACTGCTGCAAAATGAACAGAAGCAGCATCGCTTGGAAGTCTGCAGGGAACTTCAACATCAGCTTCAAGAGGACCCAAACTTTCTTTTGAAGGTTGTCACTGGTGACGAAAGTTGGAATTATGGCTACGACTCTGAAAGTAAGCAGCAATCGTCGCAATGGAAGAGCCCTTCTTCACCTCAGCCAAAAACAGCTCGACAAGTCAAGAGCAACATTAAGTACATGTTGATCTTTTTTTTTTTATATTGATGGGATTGCTCATAAATAGTTCATCCCTCCTGGTCAGACAGTCAATAAAGAGTTCTATTGCAATGTTCTAAGGCGTTTGAGGGAGGACATGAGGAGAAAACGTTCAGAGAAGTGGCGCACGATCGCATACGGCTTACATTGTGCAGGAATTTTTGGCTAAAAACAAGTTGACAGTTGTTCCCCACCCACCGTACTCACCAGACTTAGTTCCATGTAACTTCTTTCTCTTCCCCAAGATGAAAATCAAGTTGAAAGGGTGAAGATTTGATACAGTTGAGGAAATTCAAGCGGAAACGCAGACGGTACTAAACACCCTAACAAAGAAAGACTTCCAGGATGCATTTCAAAAGCGGCAGAAACGCTGGGATTGGTGTATGCGCTCCCAAGGGGACTACTTTGAAGGTGATGGTGCAGAATAAGATCCATGTAACACGTAATAGTTTTTATTAATATATTTCGAGAACTTTTGGATTGCACCACGTATAATAGTGTTCTATACTTTACAGCACCTGAACAGTAGTTTTCTTCAGGCCTTTAAGTGCCTCTGTTTACTGTAAATGAAATTACTTTCATCTCAGAACATTGAAGATTTTCTCATGAAAGCTGTTTCATTACCTTACCACACAAATGTTCGAAATTCAGTACCATATTTAACACCATTTCAGATGAAGAGGTTATGTAGGATCACATGAGTTGGGAAGATCCAAGTGGTAGTTAGGTAATGATTTGGAAGGAGTAGGTGTTCACCAGTTTTAAAGTGCCACCAGAGTATTTTTTTTTTTGAAGAGACGAGGGAAACTGCACTTCTAAATCAATGTGAAAATAAGATTATTGCTGTTATATGTGAGGTGCAGGCAGCAAATTAAACAGTTCATTGCTTTCGATCCCTGTCTGTGGACATACACACACACACACACACACAGAGTATGTAACATCACTATCAAGAGGAGCGGATCATTGTAATATATACATGAAACAGTTGCGTCTACCTTGAGTCCATGGTCTCAGTTCTTCGAATATTAAATGCAGACTGCAGTGTACAGTAAAACCCCTATTTTATGTTCCTTGATTTAAGGATTTCCCTCATTTAACATTCAGTTTCAGTGAGCCCATGCCAATGAACCCTCCATTTGAGATTGTCTGTAGTTTAGTGTTCAAACCCAGTGGTCTCCAAGCAAGCCTGAAGTAGAGGTTTCACTGTATTCATTATTATTATTCTGCGGAAATTAATGAATGTATGTTAGGAAAGTAATGCAAGGTAAAAACTTTCACTCTTGAATGCAGTAAAATAAAGTTGTCTGGACCCAAGTAGAGTAATATGCCTGAAGTTTCACAGCCACTCTTCCAGTGATGTTCTGAGTTTCTAGTTTTCACTGAAGTGTGAGTGTCTAGTTGTGTAACCCTTTGTATATGCTGTATGCAGGTGAATGTGCTGCCATCTCTTATGTGATGCTGCATGATGTAATGTTTGAATATTGGTTTGTGTATGTCTGTAGGTATCATTCATGTGGAGATTGTCTTTGCTGATCAAGTAGATGTGATATCTTTCTAAATTGTTCAGGTCTTTTCCTTTTTCCCTGTTTTTATGATATCCATTACGCTGGTTATATTTCTGTGTGTATATCTCATGTTTGATCAAGGATTTCTGTTATTGTTTCATATTGCTTGTTTATGGTGTTTGTACCTGGTATTGAAGGGTTGTCCTGTTTGTACAATATATATCTTGGTGGCAGTCTAGACATCTTCAACTGGCCTTTGCTGCTTTTACTATGTTTGTTCATTATTCGTGGTGTGTGTGTATTTGTTGTAAAGATAATTCCACCAGATTTGAAATCACTAACTATTTACTGCACTGTTGCTTGTTTATATTCTTTTCCTCCTCTTTAGCGCATGTATGTGTGGTCCCCCCCCCCAATACCTCTAGGCAAATCCTGGGATATGACTTGGCTGTAATTGTTATTTTATCATTATTAATACTGATATTATCATCTTCATTGCCATTGCCATTGTTTTTTTTGTTGTTGGTAGTGGTGGTATTATTATTGTTATTATTATCGTCTCCAGATTTCAGTTCACAAAAATATTCAGTGGCACTGCAAGTCAGGAAGACATATACACTGAGTGTGTTCATGATCTGGTAAAGGGCTTCATCAATGGACAGAATTGCCTACTTTTTGCATATGGTACAAGCAGTGCAGGAAAAACATACACCATTCAGGGTAGGTTGTTATTTTTCTTTGATATGAAATTGGTATGTGTCTATATTCCAATTTATACATTTCAACATATGGTAATTGTAATTACTGGAATTTGTTTGTAGGAACTTCTCAAGAACCTGGGATTATTCCACGAGCAATTAATGTTCTGTTTAACAGTATTCGTGGAAAACAAAGTCAAACCTGTAGACTCAAACCAGAATTGGTTAACCTAGTTGTGGAACTTGATGACAAGGCAGTGCATCAAGAAATTGCATACAAGCAGCAGATAATGTCTTGGTCACAAGATAAATACCATGTAAGTCGAGTGAGGGTTGTTAAAATTGCAGCACATCATGCATGTAATAAGATGAATTCTTCTGAAAGAGAGTTCTTTGTGAAGAGACTGTTAAACGGTGCTGGTTTTAATTTAAAACATTTTTATATCTAAAAATAAATTATGCTAAATCTCAGATTTATATTGTTTCTGTATGGTTAAGTTTTACTGAATCCTTAACATTTTTCTTTTGTTTAGCGTGTATTTGCCTGCAAGTTACTAGTAAAGCTGTGTATTGTTAAATATGAAATTTGGCTTAGTGGATGCTTCTAAAGTAAGTCTGCTTGAAAATTTGAAATTAACTTATGAGAGGACGAGAGGACGGGTCTGTCTTCTATATGCTGCTGGCCCTTGCCAGCAGGCGGAAAACGCAGCTTGCTTCACTGTTGTGTGACTGCCGTGTTTACAGAGGCATTGCTTGACAGTGCTGCCAAGAGTTGTTTACTGCTGCGTAGCAACCAGTGCAGCTCGGCCTGGCTCGGCATGGTGCGGAGAAACGCCACTTTCCTTATTGCTGCATAACCTCGTTCCACTTTTGCGTAACTTGGCAACCGACCATTTATCAAGAGTCTGTCTTCATGGTAACTCGTTCCACATCCCGTTGCCCAACCACAATTTGACATGTCACAATATATTGGAAAATACAGTAATTTCAGTACAATGGATTTTCAGAGTTGATGGCGCTTAAATGTATATTAGTGAAATTGTGTATGTATATTTTTTTCTTATGTAATTTAACTTATATTTGTTTCTCTCTCTCCAGGTATTATCTGGTTCCCAGGTCTCTGAAGCAAGCTCAGACAAGTGCTCAGAATATACATCGACCAGTATTGACAGTCAAGGTATGCACCAAGTTTTCCGAGTATGGGTCAGATAAGCTACCTCCGTAGTCTAGGGGTAACATTCCCACCTCATGACTCAAGGTACGCGGGTTCAAACCCAGCGGAGGTAATGGAATTTTTAAGGCCAGAAAAATTCAGGGAACAAGTCCTCTGGGAGGGACTTTAAGCCGTGGGTCCTGTGTCGTAGATTTACAGCACGTAAAAGATCCTCATGACTCTAGGAGACCTCTGAGCAAAATTAGGCAAAAAGTTTCGTGCCCAAGTAGTTTCCAATGCCTCTGGTAGATGGGGGAAGCATCAGGTACCGAGGGCCAACCTCGTTGGCTGAATGGGGCTGATAGCACGCACCAGTACCGGTAGGGTATGGCGACTTGTAGAATATCAAAGGGGGACATACAATAGACTATTAGTCGCGGTGCATGGGGAAACCCACCCCCTCAAATAATAATAATAATAATAATAATAATAATGGGTCAGATGAGTAAGTTAATCCTGGTCATTGCAGTTCAGATTTTGTTCTTTTATGATTATACATACTTATAATTTGTTTTAGATTTATTTGGGTTTCATATATTATGTTAAAAACTATTGCTTATAAGGAAATTTTTTAATCACAGTTCAGTTCAACTGCTGCACCTTGCATTTCAGCTATGGATTGTACTTTACAATGAATTGACAAATGTATGTATGTGGATGTCTCTTTCAGCCCATTTTTTATTGTCCTTTAGTAGTTTATGGTTATGGACAAATGCTGCATATGTGATGTGTCCTTGTGAGTCTGTGAAGATAAGCACTGTATATGACTTCATTATATGGTCTTACTCTAGCAATTGTACTACTACTTAGTATGGCATTTCTCTTCCAGTTCCAGATTTTGTCTCAAACACTTTTCGTGATATGCAAGTGCAACTAAATAATTCTTCACTTGTAAGTGTAGAAGGCAAAGAAGTTGTTTTCTCAGTTTGGGTTTCTTTCGCTGAAGTCTACAATGAGAATGTTTATGACTTATTAGAGCCCGTAGGAAGAAGAAATCACAGGAGACAAAACTTGTCATTAGGCGAAGATAACAAAGGCCAAGTATATATAAAAGGTAAAAGGAACTTCTTAGTTACTTTGTGATGGATTTATAATGTACTAATTATGCAGGATATATGTATCCATTATTTCTTTCCTCCTTGTGTCTGTATATTCAGAAACTTTTGAGTGAAGTCACCAATCTCACCAAACAGTATTGTTCTTCTCATGCGTATGGGTTTGTCTTTTCATGAAGTTATGGTCTAATTTTTCCATAATCTCTGTTCTAGTAGATACTATAAGGTTCTGACGATGGTGTATAACAAACAGAGATACTGGGTTTTCGGACTTTGTTCATCGTCCAGATTCTGAATAACTAAGAAAAAACACAACGTTTCAAAAACTGGATCTGTTTCCGTCTTCAGGTGAGGAAAGACACCTACTCTGTTGGGTCCCTTAGAAAGAGCTAGCCTCAATCACTGGTCCAGTGTTGTGTTTTTCCTTAGTTATTTAGAATCTGGACAATGGACAAAGTCCAAAAACCCAGTATCTCTCTGTTTCAGCATTCACTTATAACTAATCCTTTGTTTTCTCAATATTTCTCTGTATTTCCTCATGACAAGCTAAGCACTTCTTGGGTCATGTGTATAATTCAGCGATTTAACACCTGGATAATATATTTAAGTATTAAACTGAGGGAAAGCTCCAAAATATGAAATTGACGCTGACATAATATGGTTTGGATCATGGTAAATGAAGACTGAACAAGAAAGCTCAAAATGATGAATATTAAAATGTGATTCCATTGCATCCTAACTTTATTCATCATCAGCCCTATTGGTGTTCATAACTACATTTTTCATATGCTAGTACTTTAAAATTTCTTAAATTAAAAACCATTTGTTAGTATACATATCAGTTACCTCTATACATGAACATATAACAATTTTTCTTATTGATGTTTGCATAATTATATTTTTATGTGTACTGTATATGTGTTTACAAATTTGACATTTATAGTGTATTCATTTAATGTTCATTGTATGGAAATGGCGATTTTAAATCTCCCAGTTTTACAGCACTGGTGGCAAGATTTTAATTTGAGGTAATGATATTAACATTGAAAATTGTAATGCTTGGCCACCTGGGTCAAATGCATGCACCATTGCAACAGTGCAAACGCGGCTAATAAAGATTGAATATGCAGTGAGATATCAATTAGAAGTATAGTGTGTAGTGTGTACAAGAACTTCAGATTACAATTTTTTTTTCTACATCCTGTGGTAATAAATGCTTCATGGAAATTTACTTAATGTTGCATATTCTTTTTAACATTATGGCAAAATAATTTTTTTTTGTGTGTGTGTTTAAAGACTAACAGTTCTATATATCACTAAATTGTCACACTTAACTTTTATGAAGCACAATACCCTTCCCCCTCCCCACTTCAGAGTCAGTAGGGTGGAGCATTTATGACATGAATAACATGTACCTGATGTACCGGTACCTGATGAAACTAAATTTATGAGAAAGTGTAATCTTATATGCTCTTGTCACAGCATAAAGAGATAAATAAAAGCAAGAAAAAGAAATATGTTTGAGTATAACTAGGTAAAAATTCATGCACCACTGGACCAAATTGAACATATTTTGATTTTTAAATTTTCTGATGGTGGTTTCAGTTCCCTTGTATACTGTTTAATTATGATGCAGTGTAGTGACAGACATCAGAAGCCACAATATCAGTTTTCAAATCAAAATTTTAAAACGAAGTAAAAGATCGCTTAGAAATTTGGGTTGGTAGTTTGATTTCAGAGAAACTTGTTCCCTCACATTAAGGGAGGAACATGGACTGAGGGTATTTGAGAACAGGGTGTTGAGGAAAATATTTGGACCAAAGAGGGATGAAGTGACAGGAGGTTGGAGAAAACTGCATAATGAGGAGCTTCATAACTTGTACTCTTCTCCAAGTACAATTAGATTGATCAAGTCAAGGAGAATGAGGTGGGCAGGGCATGTAGCATGAATGGTGGAGAAGAGGAATGCATGTAGGATATTGGTGGGGAAGCCAGAAGGAAAGAGATCACTGGGAAGACCAAGGCATAGGTGGGTGGATAATATTAAAATGGATCTTAGATATGATGGGATACTATGGATTGGATTGATCTGGCTCAGGATAGGGACCAGTGGAGGGCTCTTGTGAACATGATACTGAACCTTCAGGTTCCATAAAATTCTTGAGTAGCTGCAGGTTTGGCCTTTCAAAAAGGGCTCAGCTCCATAAGTAAGTTTGATTTCAGAGCAAGGAAGAAATGTGGGTGATTTAAACATGAATTTCTATTCTTATTACCAAATATCATGGGCAATGGTTAGCACTTCTGCTTCGTATTCGAGAGGTAGCTATTTTAGCAAAGTTTTATGGTTTTATTCAGTCCCTACCTCAAACTGGGCCAAATCCTTTTTGATTCATTGTTCACTAATCGTCCTATCATTCAGTGCTATGTAGTCTGAACTGCTGTTAGTTTTGTGAAACAAAGCCAGAGGTGAATAAAATCTGTTCTTATCTTCATAATTTCTTGAAAAAAGTGTCCATCTACGTATATCCTTGTTTTTAGTAACTAATTATTGACTTAGAGTAAGGTAACGTGAAGTAAAGTAAAGTTTTCTAGTTTGTTGTAACAAATTTTAATTCACTTGTGTCTTATTTCACGCTTTACTTTTGTGTATTTATTATAAGAGAAACCTGTTCTCTTTGCAGGATTGCGACATATCTGTGTTAATTCTGCTGATGAAGCTTATCAGGTTATGTTATATGGACAACATAATTTGAAATTTGCTCCAACTGCCTTGAACATTGTATCAAGTAGATCCCATTGCATTTTCACTGTGAAGCTTCTTCAGCATGCCAAATGTGAACACCCAAAATTTGTTCATGTAAGCATGTAAGTACAGTGTCCAACTTACGAATATTGTCACATATATGAGGAATTACAGGCGGGATTTGGATTGGTGACTTGATTTAGTGCACACTTTGACACAGTGCATGGCTACACTTTGCAGTTCACTGTTACACACACACACTAGTGTTCACAGTCACGTCTTCATAGCCAGATACAGAGCACTGAGTCTGGGAACCCCCCATATTGTACATTTAAATATGTCAATAGGAAGATATGTTAAAGCAGCAAACTCAGATACTGAGTTGTCAGTTTGGGAAAAGAAAACTTAGCAGCAGGAGCTAAGATTTGAAACCAATTCGAAGAATATTTTTACTCCTATATTTGGGTTTACACAATTCACATGTGTATAGATTTTTTAAATTATTTTTCTAACTTTGGTTTCAGGTTTTCATTCTGTGATCTTGCTGGAGCTGAACGTGCCAAACGTACCCAAAATGTTGGTGAAAGACTGAAGGAGTCTCAAAATATAAACACTTCTCTGCTAGTTCTTGGAAGATGTCTAATGACAATCAGGTGATGTCATCTACCATATTTCTAAACATATTATGTGTGATGTTTTTGCATTTAATGAAGGAACATGCTACTTAGATTTTGGGTGTCAATAGCTGCTGTGTTTCTCTTACCCCAAGTTCCACATATGACCTTGATATTTTTTAATCTGGTTCTACCGATCATGCCCCCCCCCGTAGATACATGCACTCCATATTTGTGACTGTTATCATAAATATGGAAGGAAAGTTAATACTTATAAGGAAATCTATGGGGGAATTTTTTTTCTCTCTTGAATAAAATAGCTCTTAACCCTTTGACGTGGTCATTTAAATTCCGCGGCCGCGGCTCCTGCGGTAATATATTCAGCCGGCCATTTAAATTTTGCTCGAAAATTATTTATTCATCATTGTTCTTAAATTCTATGAGATAGGAACATGAAACTTTCACTAAAATGATCTTAAAAGGTGGTTTTATAACCTTACCTTATAATATG